AGCTCCACGACGATTGGGGATTAGTTGCGGCCGTGACCTTGAATGAGGTGGCGCAAAAGTGAAGAGGAAGCATTTTGGGATTGATCCACGGGATGGTGAGATGGCTGAGCGGTGAGTGGTGGAGGGCTAGGAAGAGAGAGTCCAGGAGTTTTATTTCAAATAAAGATGTTAAGTGAGAATGAGATGAATTACATATACCCAAAAAAAGTGTTCATATAGAAAGCAAGTCAGTTGAAATTAATATGATGATTCTAAAAACAACCATTGACAGCACATTACCATTAAAATTATAGAATTTTACAGTTCCTTCATCAACATACTGCTTAAAAGCCCACACACACCAAAACACACTGCCGTTCTCTCCTACGCCACGCTACTCGAGTGGCCAGCTAATGCCCACTTCCCACCGTAAACACAACCATTCGGCGGGCGCGGACTGACCTCGTCGGCCGTCCGTCGTCCCTTTAGGACGCCGGCCGGCCGGGTGGCACCTCCCGGGAGGGGTATAGCACCGGCTCAGTGATGGAACTGCAGGCAGGGGACGCGCCGGCCGACCGACAGCAACTTACGAGCCGGAGCGGACTGGAGTCGGTGAAAACTTGAAATTAGCTTGAAGCTTCGAGTGGGTGGTCGGTCGGTTAGGTGACGACGGCTTGCTGTAGAGCTTATGACATCAGGTACGCTGTCATGTATGAAGAAAGATTAACCCTCGCCGGCACAGGGGGGGGAGGGGGTTGATGCAACCCCCCCTAAGGTTTTTCGCGAATAACTCGCGTAAAAAGCGGCCGATCGCAACGAAACTTTCAGTACCCTCGCATTGATCACTTTTACACCTACCCTGAAAATTTCATGACCCTGACCCCAATGACCTTTGACCTGTAACCTCTTTTCTGGACCATGTTTGGCCGAAATCGCTGTTCGGCGCATGTCGGCTCGCATTAGCCGCGCGTTTGCAAGCTTTTCGTGGTTTCAAACGTTCAAACATGTGATTTGATGTTGCTCCCATGCATTAGTGTGGGTTTCAAGGTCACCTGAAGGTCAGGTCAGGTCATTGACCTTTTGGTGACCTCGGGTGACCTCGGTTCACTTTTTCGAGTTTTACATGTTTCTAGGCTAGTTTTTGGAGCTGAATTCGAATTTAGCAGCCATTTGAACATTTACGAAGTAGTTTTGGTGCCTTCGTAGCATGTTACGAAGCTGTCCGAGGCGGTTGACACGTATTACGAATACCCGTCACAACCCCTACCGGTTGACCTGACCTGACCTGACCCGACCTGGTCTAAATGCTTAAAAACATCATCTCTGATCAAAACTAACACGATATTCGTGATCAGCACCCCGGAAAACCACATAGCAGCCACACTTTACGACTTTCTAACAGGTCCCGATTTTCCCGGTTTTCGGGTCATTGGCCTGACCTGGAAGGTCACCCGATGACCTAGGACCTTAAAATTGGGTATCATCGGCTTCGTCTCGTGACGGGCAACACGCTCGTTTTTTCCGCGAAGCTCTAGCTCGATCAGGGGCCAAACGCGAGGGGGGGTCGTACCCCCCACCCCTTGTACCGTCGAAGGACTCAAAATGGCCTGTGCCGGCGAGGGTTAACGATTACTCTGGTAGCATAACATAAATAATGCCGTATAAAAAAGCATTTGGAACCTAATTACCCAATCTGTAAAATTTCCAAAACATTTTCACAAGGGCTGTAATAAGCTGTTCAACTGGCGATACTCTATGTAATATTACGTGAAGATATCGATAAATCATTATCATGATCGATCCGGACGAAACGATAAAACGGTGAAACAGCGCAGAGGATTCCTTATTCCTTAGCTTCCTTAGCAATTGATGTGCTAGCCACCTGGTAAGGCAGTGGAGTAACTATTACTTCCAGCATCCGCCGCTAGGTGGCCAATCAGCTTGCGCCTGCGGATTAGGCTGTACCGCATGGCACGACTGAATCACTTGTAGGTAGGATATTCATTTAGACCAAAACGTATACATTCTGAGATAGACACTCCTTACACTCTCCCTTCCGTTATAGACTGGCTTGGTTTTGAGTTTTGAAAGTCGAATAGGCCATTGGGCCATGCTACAGCATAAACCTACCTATCCGTTTCAAGTCTTGAAGGAGGTAAAACAACCAAGAACAATAGCCTTCCCGCAAAAGATTGGTAATGGGCAAAGTAAAGTAAACGTTTTCGTGAGTGGAGTGGGCACTTCGGAACTTGCGTGCAGTAATTGTTGAGCCAGGAATGAGGTGAGAATACCATGTGATTTCTTGGCAATTTATATATTACCTAATGGTTTCCCATGTGTGTCAAATGATGTTACACAGCTCGGAATTTGATAAAAGCGGGCTCATCAATTATGTATTTACTCTAAGCATAGTCGTAGTTCATACCATTACATTATTAGTTGTACACAATAACTGTCATCAATCACTATGCAACAAAAAATGAAAAAATTTTCTGTTCCTGGAAAGCGACCGAATTTTTCTTATTCATTGGGTCCTATTATAACCGAAATGGGCATTAGTTTTGATCTGAAAATGCTTTTCCGGTTTTCAGAGACGATTTTCGATTTTTGGCCCCGAAATTCGGTTTTTGGCCCACCGTGTCCGATGTAATTGAGTAATCGACTCGCGGTAACTTTCATCGCCTTTCCTATGCCACAAGCTTTCGAATGATATCTGGTTTTGCATATTTGCGTGCAAAAATAACGTCATAAATCTATGTTAAAGTAAGAAAATGTTGAAATTTTGTAAAAATTTGACATTTTTTTCGATTTCATTTCAAAATAGAGGAAAAATAAAGGCCTCATCAAAATTCTGAGCCCAGTTCCTTGAAGAGCATTCAATTTCCGTTCGGAAGGTACCTTTTTAGTGCATTTTATCGGATTCCTGTGGCGTCCAGATTGAGTTAACCTAAACACATATCCTAAGTCATATCACATAGCATTAACCTGATAACGTATGTTAACGCCATAGGATCAACGAGGGGTCAACTGAGGTCATTTTGTTGACCCCTTGTGACCTCGGGTCACACGCAGGAACTTACTTTTGAGCAGTCCTGTCGCTCAGAATCTTGATCTGTTGGGGGCCCGTTTTTCAAGTGACTCAATCTGGACGCCACAGTAAACCGATAAAATGCACTAAAATAGTACCTTCCGAACGGAAATTGAATGCTCTTCAAGGAACTGGGCTCAGAATTTGGATAGGGCCTTTAGTTTTTACTCTATTTTGAAATGAAATCGAAAAAAATGTCAAATTTTTACAAAATTTCAATATTTTCTTACTTTAACATAGATTTATGACGTTATTTTTACACGCAAATATGCAAAACCGGATATCATTCGAAAGCTTGTGGCATAGGAAGGGCGATGAAAGTTACCGCGAGTCGATTACTCAATTACACCGGACACAGTGGGCCAAAAACCGAATTTCGGGGCCAAAAATCGAAAATCGTCTCTGAAAACCGGAAAAGCATTTTCAGATCAAAACAAATGCCCATTTCGGTTATAATGGGACCCAATGAGTCCAAAAAAATCGGTCGTTACTCAGGAACAAAATGACTGTTGCATAGTGTAATTTGTGATTTATTCTGATTTATTACTTATTACTTCGGCAAAAGCTCGACCTAAGCGATGAATATTTGTCTTTTAGCCTTCCTGTCACCGAGATGCTTCACGCCCACGGCTGATAGAAAATCCGCTTATATTTGGCCTTATCAGCTGGGCTTAAATCACCTTATTTTGAACTCGGTTCAATAGTATGTTTATTTATGGAAAATTACCAACTTCGATGAACTTCCCAGCGGAAAAATCACGTCTGTGCTGTCAAGGTGTGTCAACATCCACACGTGCTTCCCAGAAACAAAGACATTTTTCAGTCTATTGGCGCCTTTCGTAAACAGTATTGAATGGAACTCCCCTGTCCTGTGCCAATCTATATGTTAATCTCCCTTCCTGCCCTCTCCCCGACGCTAAACAAACCAAATTTGCAAGGTGTTGTGAGACGCGCGCCCTGCCTGCTGTCGCCGCTGCCTCAGAGGGAGGCTACCCCTGACTGCGCCGCCCGCTCGCCCGGGTATCAGTTCCCTGTCCGTCTCCCCCGCTACAGCGCACCAAATAGTGAGGCTGTCTCAGAGAGCGATTAAATTCTGCCCCTGTCGCCGGTCCTGTCACGATACAAGGGCTCGGAGGGTCCGTCTCGGCAAAAGAGCAGATTTCAACAAGTCATGGCCAAAACGAGACTTCATCTGACTTGAACAGCACACAAGGCAGCCTGCTTTTCGTTCCACGCACTCATGAACCAACAACGACAACGCATTCAGCAAGCAATACAATTCAGGGTGACACAAAAAAAGCGGTCATCACCAAAATTCGAATAACTTCGGAAGTTTTATTCAGATCATCACCAAACTTCGGCCACTTTAGGTCACACCTATGTAGCAGACATCCACCAAGTTTCAAGTCTTCACTACGAATACTTTTAGTACAGTGTGTGTTTTACGGACGCTCCATAATGAGCTCCAGGTGAGCGCCCCGGCGCTGCAGGGCGTAGGCACACCTGCATCCGGCGGGCAAAGTTGCCGATAACCCGATAAGAATAACGTTTCAGGGGTAGCACACCCCCTGAGCACTGTCTCCAGAGGCCATTGCACTCTGTAAAGTGCACAGCCATCGGGTTATCGACAACTTTGCCCGCCGGATGCAAGTGTGCCTACGCCCTGCAGCGCCGTGGCGCTCACCTGGAGCACATTGTGGAGCGTCAGTAAAACACACACTGTACTAAAAGTATTCGTAGTGAAGACTTGAAACTTGGTGGATGTATGCTACATAGGTGTGACCTTAAGTGGCCGAAGTTTGGTGATGATCTGAATAAAGCTTCCGAAGTTATTCGAAATTTGGTGATGACTGTTTTTTTTTTGTCACCCTGTACATCACATTATTTCATTTTAATAATTAAATACAGACATCTCCACAGACGCACTCATGTTGACACTCCCTGGGTACACACAGCTGACACCTCCCTCCCTATCTAACCGTAGCTTATCCGGGATGTTATCGGTCTCAGCTGTTGCCGTGACGCTAGCACAGAGCTCACACCTGAAGGGACGCCTCAGTTCCCATCTGTGGGTGGCCTGAGAACAGCGCGACGGCTCTGCAGAAGGTCTGTGACGCAGAGAAATGACGTGTCGGTGATATGACGTGCGGTGAGTGATGTGGAGAGAGTGAGGTGATGTTAGTGGCTGAAGACGAACAGGATTTCCGTTGAACGACGGACTGAACGTTCTTGAAACGAGAGCCTGTGCGATTTCTTCAAGAAAGGACGAGGAATTATACCATGGACGCTGAAGAAAGTTTTTTTTCGAGATGACCGGAAGTAATTGATATATAGCTATTTTAAGACAGTTGGCATCCTCTTGATGGCTTTTACAAGCTGTATCACCGAAGTGCTTCTTAGAGAAAAGCATTATCTTGCTTGCCGGGACTGATTCTCAACGAACGAGAGCATCGTGAAAATTTTGAAACATTGATGAGAGAAAAAGTTATCAGTGCCCTTGATGGCACATCTACTCGTAACTGAAATCAAGTGACAAGAGTGGCAAAAAACTGCACACACCGAAACATATTGAAGGAGCAAAGAAATCTCATTTCTCAAACCACGTCTGTTGCGGACGAACATATGCTCGTCAGCCAAAATGGTACGCGGACGGCTGCTGATAGGCTGTTTGCTGGTTCCGATATTCGTCATAACCCTTGTACTGTTTGTACTGATAAGAAGGACCACCTTCTATCGTGAACGAGCCATTGCAGCCAAAGGTAAGAAGGCTTATCTTTTGCATTACTACTCTTTGTTATAACTACACTTACAAACATGCAATGTCAACAGTAATCATTTGACTTCCGGTTACGATGGCATAAGTAAATTGAACATCAACGGCTTCGACAATTTTCCGCATTTGGAATGCATGACAAACCCAGATACAAATTTATGTCTCGCTATTTTATCCACACAGCTAACCTTAAAACATTTTCTTTCAATGCTGCAGGTGACCATGAATCGCCATATTATAAAGAGCCGCAAGAGCCTTCTTCTTCTTCGTCGTCGCCAGTGCCGCTTCTTTCTACAGAACAATACCTAAGATTATCGAACATCGGACACTCAAAGGAAGCATTTCCAGGCTTCAGTGGAGACATCGAGTAAGTTTTGAGCAGCGCGGTGGACGCTGGCGACGGCGGAATAAAATGGTTACAGATCCATGGTTACAGTGTTTCGTACAAGCATTAAAAATGTTAATTATCAGCTAGGTAACCAGCAACAATTTTGAGCTGAACCAACCTCAACGTGATTTGAAGTGCATTCGTGACGGTTTATATCCCTAGCTTAACGTAACAGGACATTGGTACATTAAGTTCAAATGCCTGAACTTGTGATATGTTCTTATGGCTCATACATATACGCTAAGTCATCTAGTGACGCAATTGAGACATGTGGTAATTTCTCACGTTTCATTTGTGATCAGTGGCAGGAACAGTGTATTTCTGATGAAAGTCATAAATATTGTGCCGGCTCGTAAATTTTTATACATATCACATATAAAGTAACACCAGTGCATATTCTCATTGCTCCTGTTCATTTCCGTGTCCTGGTCATAACGCCTCTCCCCGTTTGCTGCTCGCAGGCCGTCGCAGTACCCATGGATCCAGCTCCACTATGGTCACTACCGGCGACACCTGCTGGAGGCTGGCTACGGGTGGGCCAGCCGACCCATAGCCGCGGGGCACGAGGCCACTGAGATTCAGCGGGTGGTCCACGAAGCTTCCATGGTGATACCGAAGTCGCAGGGAGCTGCCGGACGGAGCGGTACCGACTGTATCGGTGGCCGCCTGCGCTATCTGCCGGGTCTAGGTGTCGAGTATGAGGTGTACCTCCGGGATCGGGTGGCACGAAACTCTGTGGAAATGCCTTCATCTGACGCCAATTCGGATGACTTCGACTCCAAGCCAGTGCTCACCCACCACAAAGTGCTGCTGCAGCGACCGATGGGAGATCTGGAGGTAGAGTACGTTGGCAGGACGTCCAGTCAGCTGGTGCACATTATCCTGCCCTACTACAACCGACTGGAGGCGCTGGAGAGGTTCCTGACGCGCTTCGTTCAGATGGCGCAGAAGCCGCAGCCGCTGGCACTCACTATCGTCCGGTTTTCCAGTGGCTTTCCGAGGATGGACACAGATGAGGAGGAAAACGACCGACTAAGAGTTGATAAGCTGGTGGCAAACGCCGCACGAGAGCTGGGAGGCGCGTTCGTTCCTCCGGTGAGACTCCTGGAGGCCGACGGGATGTTCTCAGCCGGGAGAGGCTGGGTGACAGCCACGGAGGCGACTGCAGAAGACGGGATCGTGATGCTGGCCTATGTCGACCTGCTGTTTGGGGAAAGTTTCCTGCAGAGATGTCGAGCGAACACAGAGTCCGGCCGGAGGGCCTACTACCCAATTACGTTCAGCACCTACAACCCGCGCGTGGTGTACGGCGTGTTCAAGAGGAAGGTGCGCTCGGTGGTGGAAAACTATGACAGTGGGCGACTGCACCAGCCCGAGCTTGGCTACTGGCTAGACGAGGACTACGGGGTCTCGTGCCAGCACCTGTCCGATTTCCGCAGGTTCAGTGACCCGTTCGGCGGCAGCGTGGATCACGATCTGGACATTATGCTGTACGAGAGGTATGTGAAGAGCAGGGTGGATGTGATACGAATGCCAGACCCGGACTTGGTTCAGGTGCATCACAGGGTAACCTGTTTTAGGGAGATGGGAAAGACTGAGTACAACGCGTGTCTCAAGGCTAAGGCCATGAACGAGGCATCTAAGCTGGAGTGGGGTCTGTGGGTGTATAAGAACCTGGGCGATACGGACGAAATAGAAAAGTTCTTGGAGGTAGTCAACAAATTTGGGTTTACAGTGCCTCCAAAGGAAAGCGTTATAGCCCCTGACAATGCTACCAAGGACACACATGCATGAGATGTAGTTCTTTTACATCTAGTTTCATTTTATTTTGAATTTATGCTCAATAAATATTTATTCATAGAGCTGTTTGTAGCATACCGTCAATGCCGTGCAAGACCTGAATATAATGTCGATATTTTACGTCTTTGAATTTTCAAACAAAAACTTCCACGCCGTGAAAACGTAGGTGCCTCCAAATGGCAGCTTCCGGTCCCTTGGTTCTCTGTTTCAGCGTCTTATTCGGTTATTCCACTACTACCTTTTTGTACCGTCGTCGTAGGGCCCGCTATCTGTAGACAACATGAGGCCAAATTACCCTTCTACGGGACGGAATTCGATTAGGCGATATGCATTAGCCAGCCAGTCAGCAAGGTGCGCCAATGAAGTCAGACTCAACTCCGGGGGATAATCCCATTATCCACCGACCCCCGCTGGAACAATGAACGGAGGGAGGCGGGTGGCCAGATAGGCCGACACGGTACGGACTAGGAAAAGGTGCCCGGGGTATGTACATCTCGCAGATTTACATCGCTATGGAAAGCGATGTATATTTCCTTTGAGCCGAACCCTAAGAGACGACGGAATAGTGAAAATATCTATTTTTTCTGTTTTCCATCAAAATGATATTAACCCGCGCCCAAGTTTGGGGGGGGGGGGGTTTGAACACCCCCCCCCCCCTGCGGTTTTTCGCAGATATCGGTACACCTTATCATACATCAATTCTACACATGTTGTGAAAATTTCAGACCAAGGTCATTCAAGGTCAGGTCACCAGGTCACTTGAAGTGACCTCACCTCATAAAAAGTTTCAATGTCTGCCATAGCTACACCGAGTGACCGATCACTTTGAAACTTTCAGCGATTGATGAGGGTAACAGTATCTATAAAATGCATATCTCGGATTTTTGATATCGGTGACCTAAGGTCAGGTCAACTTTGCGGCCTCTCCATTATTATAAGTCAGTGTGAGAAAATTGAAAAGCGTCTGTTTTGCACGAACGCTATTCTAAACACTCTCAAACATCCAGATGTAGGTAAAATTGACACACTGAACCGGAAAATGGCAACTGTGATCCCTCGTTATGTCCCCGAGGTCACCTCAGGTCACGAACAGAATCTAACAGTTTTTCTCTAATAACCTCTGATAGAGGCGTGCTAGAGCGCTGAAAACGCCTTAGATGTGTTCGGCTCGACGTTGCGGATCGACTGATATGCAACATGACCTTTTCCGGTCAGGTCATGGCCTTGACCTGAGGTCAAATTTTCAAGTTGACCTTTCAAGGTCAACTTATAGTTCATTCGACGCGTCTCGACGAGAGGAACACGATGCTGGCAAAAGTAATGTCATGGCTCTTTTGAGTCAAAAGGTATCGCCGAAAAAACGATTTTCGAAAAACGGCTATTTTTGGAGTTTTTGCCCTCTGGAGGCTAAACCGTTGACCTGAGGTCAAATCTGAGAACATTACACAGAAAGGTCTGTAGAAGGGCTATCGAATGCGCTTTACCGCGGCGCTGTAGCTCTATCGGTTCCCGAGATAGCCTTTGGCAGTTACCAAAATGTTGAAATAGTCAACATTTTACCTTTGGTGACCTCTGGTGACCTGACCTTTGACCTGACCCAAAAAATGACTGAAGTGTTTCCGTTCTTATTTTGGACGTTCTTTCGATTGCCGCTTACCGCGTGTCGCTACGTGACCAAGGAGCCGAGTTAGTGGGGGGGGGGGGTGTGTTCAAACACCCCCCACACCAGGTCGTGGAAAATTCGGACTGACACTGGGGCGCGGGTATTGTTTCTTCAACTGAAACTTTCCTTTTGCAGTTTTTGTTTTACAGATATAAACTTTGCTCTTCATTGCTTCTGTAAATATCAAACCCAAAACGCGGATGAAGACGCCATGAAAGGACAAACTAAAAGGATAATTCGATGACCTTTACAGACTCGGTGGTCAGCGCAAAGCCTTGTTGTAGTGTTATCCTGAGCGATGAGTCACTCCACGTCCACTAGACTTCAAAAAGGCTTTAAGAAGGTTCTGCTTCTAAAAAGAATATTTTACACCTTTCTACTTTACTGTGAGCCGGCCAGCGTATACTGAGACACTAGTCGGATCCAAAAACACCTCTGAACCGTCACATTCAAACTGAATGACAAATAGCATCGCCGTAACTTCCCGGGGGATCGGTGCCAATTTCTTCTTAGCTCCCCGCCGGCGGAGACGGCGGCGGCTCGTAAAGGCTGACAGCACGGCGCGGCGTCGAAACAAGGGCGTCCGACGCGCGTCTATCACCTCTGTAAACACGACAGTCGTAAAGCGGCACCCGTCGGGGCTGTCGCTGCAATCAGCTCCGCTTCCGGCGTGACGCCCTCCGGGATTCGGGACTGGCCCGGAGCTCCGGAGATCCGGAGATCCGGAGATCCGGAGGTGGCACGCGCTCGGTAAGGCGACAGAGGGCGGGTGGTGTTTGAGATCTGACCGTCGCAGTGGTAACCCTCCTTGCTCTAACGGCTTGAATGCATGACAGTTACTTCAGTTAGTTAGGTAGTCGGCTGGTCGGGTGGTAGACTGAGATTGTCAAGCACAAATCCTATCGTATACTTCTGGCTTACTGGACACTGGTACCCGTAGATAGGCGAGGAGCGAGCAGTTGTGAAACGATAGCAGCACTCACTTGATTTGGTACGCAAGCCTCTGCGACCTATGTGAATCTTTTCTGTGGAATGTGAGTCCCTATCTCAAGTGCGCTAACTCTAGAACAAACAGCGGTGCTCAGACTGCGAGAGCTCCGTCTGGCTAACCCGATTGTCTGTCCGGTGAAGGGAGGGCAGCCTGCTCGGTCCCCTGACGACCTGGCGCCATTTGTAGACGCTAATCAGACAGAATCAAGCCAGACTGTTATCCAGTTTGGGCACGGCCAGACGGGGGACTTGTTTTCGTGCGTGTCACGGAGACTGAAGTAGCCGAACGACAGCGGCCCAGACGCTCTAACTCAATCGGCGACGAGTGAAGTTGGTCGTCCGTAAAACGAGAGGCGGATGGCGAGCAGGGGTGACGGCTCTCACACAATCACTGTGTTGGCTTGGTGAGGAGACGGCTTGATTGCAGTGGAGTTAGCAGTCGGTGGATTTCAAAGTGTTTTCTTCCTTTAATCACCTGTTTGCATCCGTTTGCTCCATCCCTGTCTTTTTAGCTTAGCTGTAACTTGAAAGGGACATCACTCATTTTTATTGCAATAATTGAATCGTATTAACATGTTACAGCGATTTATCTAAACAAACTTACACTACCTTAGCCAAAATGGAGCAACAGACGACAAATGTGTTATTAGATGAAGACATATCTGATGTCCAATTTGCCTCTCTCTGCAGCGCGTGCTTCGTATCGTACAGCCTCCATGCGGAATTCCTCTCACCCGTCCCGGTATCCAATAACGTAACAATGACAAAGTGCCAGCTCCCGTTACCCTTCCCCATCATTAGTGCGAACTTGGCGGGTGAACGTCCTCTCTCGACAGCGAGCCGTGCTGGTGTCGGCACCATCCCCATCCCTGGGGTGTCCCACCACACCAGGCCGCGGAGCCGCGCCGGGAAGTCTGCGGGCCGCGGTCGATTGGCGCACACCACCTCCCCTCGTCTCCCTCGTCTTTTCTCCCCTCTCGGAGACATCCGGCGGCCCGGAACGACCACCGAGTGGCCCGAGGCGGAATGTTACCGAGTGGGGGTCAATTTCGGCACCCCCGGCCGGCCGACGTCGCAGTCAGGCCGGCCGACGTCGTCTTATTGGGTCTCCTAGGGGACCATTACGGCGACAAGTTGTTTGTTCGTCGCTATTGCATTTAGCCGTGTCGCCGTGTTGTACGGTATAAATGGGTACAGTGGAGCAGGGGAAGGAGAGCGTTGCTGAAGGAAAGAGACGTTAGCACAAGACGTTACGCTTGTAAGGCCAGATGTAATCAGAAACGATGTGTGAAACAATTTTTACTTCTCTTGCTGAGGTGGCGTAGAAGATGCGCTCTGCTTCTGAACGGCTTGGCGCCAACGAAACGCATAGGTATAGCAAGCCATTGAGCAATGTCCGCTTGTATTGCTGTGCTGAACCCTCGAGCCTTGCGAAAGGCTTATCTAGCAAGCGATGTATGAACTTCAGCCACTCCAACCTCGATTAGCCACTCGCCTCAGGTGAACTTACGAGAGACCGGTGACTGGCAGGTCGCAGCATAGCCGCAGTTTCGCTGCCCCGGCACAGTGGACGACATATCACCCCGGGTCGACCCCGGCAGGGTGGACAGTAGCCCTGCGGCAAGCACAGTGGCCGGTCTACGTCAGCACTGTCCACCGACTCCATCTTTAATAACCGCCGGCGCCGGTCGGGCCTGTTATGACGACCATTTATCAGGCGGGCCTTTGTTGGTTTTCGGTGCGCCCGGTCGGCCGGACCCTGAATAGATATGTGACCGTTCTCCAGCTGGCGCCCGCTGTAAAAAGACAGCGGCTGGTCAGAGTAGGGCCATCTCCCCATATACCCAGACTTTCCCTAGGGGAAGAGAGGAGAGGTGAGGGACTCTTCTCGGGAGTGTGGGGGTGCGGATCCAGCCAAGACGGAGATTGAGCGGCCAGGTCGGATTATAGGTGAAATGAGCAGATCAAAGGTGGGGATTTCCGCTGACGAAAATGATCTTTTGTGGAAGCGTGCGTGATATTTGCTCGGACGGAAATGGCTGTCAGGTGAGGTCAAGGAATGGAAGCCACTAGGCGAAAAAATTGGTGATTGTAAAGTTATATTGGATAAAGACGCTTTAGCATTGAAGCTTTTGGTAAAACATTAGCTTTTGGTAAAACAGCATAGCATTATAGGAATAATTTCATATTTGCTTGATATATTAACCATTGTCTCAGGAAACCTAATCCTGATTTTTGTGATGTTCTGCACATAACATCTACATACAAACATCGTTCATACATCATTTTGACATTTTATGCGACTGTAATTAATCGTGTTTATATTCTGGGGCATTTTAAATGAAACTATAGCTTGGTTGTGAGACCTGTAGACTTGTAGACTGTCGGCACTTGGAGCTCAGTTCCACCCAGTCCCAATTCCAGCAAAATGTCCTGAAGTCAGAAAACCGTATGGTTCCCGTTCCGC